TGGTGCTGGCATTTGCTTCCCTGCTGAAGGTCATGGGGCCGCTGGCAGACGCGCTCACCCTGGTCCCACTCACCAGGTTCAGGACCAGCAGGTGCGGGGCAGCAGCCAGCAGCAGCAGGAAGCCATCCTGCTAGTCCTGCCCCTCGTCGTGTCACTCCTCAATGTGCTGATGCCCCACTTGTACAACTTGCTGGCCATGTGGGAGAAGCAAGATTCGCCCGCCGTGCAGGTCTACGTGGCAATCTGCAGGTAGGATGGGTGGGGGGATCATCCCATGCCCCCACCTGCAGCCTGGGGGGAGGCTTTGGGGCTGGGCGCCCTGTCTGTGGGGCTCAGCCCCTTTGTGCCCAGGGCTCAGGGGCTCCTGGCCCTGCTCCCACTCTGTAGGAACCTCATTCTGAAGATGGCAGTCCTTGCTCTGCTCTGCCACCAGTGGCTCAGCCGGACAGTTGTCTGCTCGACAGCGGAGGTCAGCACTGCCACTCTGGGGCCAGGGGTCTGTGGGGGTCCATGTGAGGATGTGTGAGCCAGCTGGGCAACACTATCCAGACCATCCTTTGCCCAGGGAGCACAAAGCAATGCCAGGGCTGCTGTCCCAGCACCAGCAGGGACAAAGGTCTGCTGGTAGCACCACAGGCACCATCTTTTACTTTGCCTGGGGAGAGGGGGGCAACAGCCAGACACCCCGAATGTGGGGTGACTGGGGAAAGTGGTGCAGGGGAAGAAAACGTCCCACAGCCCCTCACACCTCATGGGGGCCATGGTAGAGTCCTGTGGGAGGAGAGGCCTCATTGCCTGCTCAGTGCCACTGTTGCTTGTCTCCCTAGTGCTGGGAGACATGTGTGGGGCAGGACTTGTATCGCTTTGTGGTGATGGACTTCATATTCACCCTGCTGGACACGCTCTTTGGGGAGCTCGTCTGGAGGTAACGTGTCTCGGGAGGGGTTCCCTAGGTGGCAATGCCCCTGGGCTCTGCCACCATCTGAGGGGCAAGATGGGGTGCTGGGCATCCCACCCAGCCACAGTGGGAGCAGAGCTCTGCTACTTCTCAGGCTGATCCTGGAGAAGAGGCTGAAGAAGAAGCAGAGGCCCGAGTTCGACATCGCCCGGAATGTGCTGGAACTGATCTACGGGCAGACCCTGACCTGGTGAGACATCTGCCTGGCATGGCTCTGCAAACACCTCATGGTCCCCTGGGAGCCCCACAGCTGGCAGGGACTGGGCACGGGGAGTAGCACATTTCACCGAGGGGGGTCCTGGGAGACCCCCATCCTGGCAGTCCCAGCTGGTGTTGGTGCCTGGACGCTGTGCCCTCCTCTGGCTCCCGTGGGCTCAGGTGCAGGACAAGCTCATCTTCTCTCTCTCTCCCAGGCTGGGCGTTCTCTTCGCACCGCTCCTGCCGGCCGTGCAGACACTGAAGCTGTTGCTGCTGTTCTATGTAAAAAAGGTGTGAGTCCCCCCTTCCCACATCCCGCAGGCATCCCCGCTGCGGGGCAGCCCGCGGTGACACCGACTCTGCCAGGGCTGCACCCTGCGGCCAGCAGCGCCCTTCCTGTGGGAGGGAGGGGGAATTGCTGGGGACAGGGTGTCCCCGAGCTTGCTTGGCTCCTAGTGAATGGGAAGGAGGGGTCAGCAGGGTGAGGGACTGCTCCCCAGGAGGTGGTGACACGAGGGCCTGCTCCCTGTCCACAGACCAGCCTGATGCAGAACTGCCAGTCCCCCAGCAAGCCCTGGCAAGCGTCTCACATGCGCACTGTCTTCATCACCCTGCTGTGCTTCCCGTTCTTCCTGGGAGCCGCCATCTTCCTCTCCTACACCATCTGGTCGTGAGTACCTGCCAGAGCACAGCTCAGAGCACAGAACTGCCTGGCAAAGGAGAGAGATTGGGGGTCACCATGCTTCCCAGCCCTGATGGCACATGGAGCTCATCGTGCCCAGCACAGGGCTGTGTGATGCTGCCCCAGGCAGGGAGGTGCTGTCCAGCTGCTGGTCACTGCACAGAGCACAGCACCAGCTGCCCTGTCCAGCTGCTGGTCACTGCACAGAGCACAGCACCAGCTGCCCTGTCCAGCTGCTGGTCACTGCACAGAGCACAGCACCAGCTGCCCTGTGCCCACTTCTCCGATGGTCTCAGATGTTCCTGATGCAGGACAAGGGGATAGGGACGTCTTTGTCCAGCTCCTGGGGATGACTGGGGCAGGCAAGCCTCAGTCTCTGGAAGGCTGGACATCTGGGGCTGGGCAGTGTCCTGGGCTGGGGACAGCAGCTGGCAGGGCTGCCTGTCTCTCTCACTGACCCCATCTCTCTGTCCACTCAGGGTGCGGCCATCGGAGACCTGTGGTCCCTTCCAGGGGCTGGAAACCATCTACAAGTCAGGGAACACCTGGGTGCAAGTGCTGGAGAAGTCCAGCCCAAACTTCTCCTGGTTCATCTGGGTCCACCAGCACCTGGTGGAGAACCCCTTTCTCCTGTTTTGTTTGTCTGGGGTCCTGCTGTGAGTATAGACCTGAGCCCGAGGCTGTACCCTACACTTTGAGAGTCCCACTGTCATGGCCCTAAGGGGGGGCTGGGAGCTGGGGTGTCACTCCAGAACCCTGCACCCCAGCCCGGTGCCAGGAGTGCAGCATCCCCTGGCTTCTCCAGCTGCTGCCATCCCATCCTGCCTTTCGTTGCAGAGCCGTGGTCTACTTCAACATCCAGGTGGTGAGAGGCCAGCAGAGGGTCATCCGCCTGCTGGAGGAGCAGATTGCCAACGTGCGTGAGCTCCGCCCCGGCCCTGCTCCAGCCCTGGCATCACCGGAGTTGGGCTCTAGCCCCAACACTGCAGCCACCTCAGATGTGCGATTGCACATCCCACAACTGCTCACTGCCACCTCTCTGCTGTTGCAGGAGGGGGAAGATAAAGTATTTCTCATTCAGAAGCTTCACTTCGCTTACGAGCAGAGAGAGAGACGCACCTGAGCCCCAGGTGAGGGACAGGGAGGGAGGCTGCTGGGTGCTTGGAGCCTGTATCTCTCCTTAATTCCAGGCTCCCCAGGAAGGAGTGGGACAGGACAGGACCCTGCTTGCTGACTGGCTGGATCCATCCTTTCTAAGCCATTGAGTTGCTGGAAGCAGTGGGACCATGCTGAGCTGGTGAAGATCCTCTCCTCTGGGTGGCTGCAGCCAAGGACCCAATGGGACATGTCACCTGGCAGCTCTGCAGGGACACTGTGGCACAGGGATGTTCATGCTTCCAGGTGGTTACTGCTGGCAGGGAACAGCTCTCCCTCCTGGAAACATCCCAGCCAGCCTGGAACCCTGCTATGAGGTGTTTTCAGAAGCCTTTAGGGACAGCAATTCTTTTGGGATGGAAAGAACCTGCAGCTACCTTTGCACTGCCCAGGAGCAGTAAGGCCAGAGCTGGGAGCTGCTGACTCCAACCCAGCTCCAGCCCCATGTCAGGCTCACCAGGAGAGTGGCTGGCTGGTACCTTCCCCTCGAAGGTCCTGCTGGCAGGACAGGCCCAGCACATTAAAGTGTGGCTGAGCAGGAGGATCCAACCAGTGTCTGGCCCTATCGGGCTGAAAGTGGGCAAGTGGTTGGGTGTACTGGTGTTGGGTTTTGTTAAGGGTGGTGGCTCAGCACGGGGGCCATGGCAGGGTGTGCTTGGGCCCCTCAGCACTGCTGGGCTGCATCTCGGGCTGTCCTGAGAAGAGCCCAGCTCAGCCTGTGCCACGGGAACAGGAACCACGGCCACCCTATAGCGAGTGGCCCGGGGAGGCACCATGGTGTGTCCACAGCCCTAGCACCACGAGCTGTGCTCCCCATGCCAGCAGCAGCCCTCAGCCCTGGAGAGCTGCTTGTTCCCAAGGCATGGCAGTGACAGACCCAGGGCAGGCTGTGCCAGGCCCAGGCACCCACTGGTGTCCCTATGACTTGGCACTGGGCGATGCAGCTCCCAGGGGGGCACTGCCCAGGCCATCAGCACGGCCAGACAAGAGTTATCTGTTACTGCACAGAACCAGCCCTGCTCTGAGCCCAGTGAGTGCCCAAGAGCAGCCACAGGCTGGCATTTGCTGCAGATCAGGGGAAACCCCCCAGCAAGACACCGTGCAGTTCCTGCCCTGGTTCCCTAACACCCACCCAAGTTTCCCGGTGTCTTTTTGCCTGTCCCCCCAGGTCACCCCGCTGTGCCTTGGCTGGTGCAGGGCCCGAAGGAGCCCCACATGCACTCGGTCCCAACCTGAAGCCGCTCCCTGCCCAGGCACTGCAGCAGCCCCCAGCCCCACTGCTGTCAGCACAGCGACCACCCTCCAGCCCTGAGGTGGCAGCACAGCCCCGGCCAGCCTGGCCTGGCCTCCAGGGCTCCTGCTCATCCCTCCCCCAAAGGCCGCAGTTCCCAAGCACAGGGCAGCCTCCAGATGGACAGAAAGGTGGCAGTTTTACTGTCAAGTCCCACAGGGTCCCAGGCCCCACTGCCAGCCCCACCGGGGGCAGCAGCTTCCTAGCCACCTCCCTCGTGATGGTCTCGCTGGGCAGGGCCAGCTCAGCGAGGGTCTCCCAGGGTGGCCTGGAGCCACTGCAGGACGCTGGCCAGGCCGGTGCCATCGCGGGCGCTGGTCTCCAGCATGGTGATGGGCTGCGTGGCACAGGAGACAACGTCCTGCATGCGGAACAGTGACTTCATCTCCGACAGAGACATGTAGCAGGGCAGGTCACTGTGGCCAGGAGAAGGGGGCTGCGTTAGCCCACCACAGCCTGGCACCACTGCTCTCCTGCCCGGCCCAGCCCCTGGCTCAGGGGTCTCTGTGAGCCCAGTCAGCCCAGAGAGCGTGGCAAAGCGTGACTTCCTCGGGCATCATCTGATGGAGGGGACACAGGAGCCACCGGAGACCCTGGGTGTGCACCCACGCCCCCACCCCCCGGCTGACCCCCTCCTCACATCTTATTGAAGAGGACGAGGACGGGCACAGAGGCGAGTGGCGCTGCGGAGAGGACGGAGAGGAGCTGGACACAGGACGAGGAGACCTGAGTGGGGTTGGCGGCGTCCACCACGAACTGCAGGGGAAGGGAGAGCAGCTGGAGCGCCGGGGTGTGCCGGGGGCACCGCTCCCCGGGGCAGGGCCGGGGCCCCGGTGCCCGCCCCGCGCTGCTCACCAGGAGCGCGCTGCACTCGCTGTAGTAGCTGGGCCAGATGGGGCCCATGCAGCCGCCCAGCTCCCGCACCGTCACC